CCACAGGAAACATTTACGAACCTAGGGACCTTTCATATGGTTCAAAACAGAAATGTGTTTAAAAGGAGCTGATTTTCACTTGATTGTGCAGACCCTTTTGGACTGAACAATCAGTTGTCTGAGCTCAAGTCTACAGAAAACAGAACAGAGCACTGGTTTTGTAAACTTTCTTTGTTGGTTTGGTTTTTAGCAGTAGAACCTTTATTTCAAAGGACCCCTAGAAGGTGCCCTTCCTAGGGAGAGAAGATGCTGGGTCTGAAAAACAATTACATTGGTCAAAACAACAACAAAACAACAACAACAACAACAAAACCACATCATGATTGGTGAATATTTCTGAGTTGGAACTCAAAAACTAAGCTGTTTCATCCCTGCTCAAAACCCCTCTGTGGCTCCCCACTGCCCTCAGAGCAAAGGGCAAACTTCTTACCATGTCCTCTAGGGCCCAAAGCTCTCTCCAGCTCTCATCTCTTCCCTGAACTTCAGCTTTGGAAGTCCCATGGCCTTCTAGATGCTTCTCCCCACGGGTTCCCAAGCCCCTCATATCTACCATGTCCCCAACTGTCCTTAAAATCTCTCCCAGACCTGTTCCTCTCCTTGGTCCCCACTTCAAGGACAGCTTTTTTTTTTTTTTTTTAAGGACAGCTGTCTTATCCATCCCACAGGTCTCAGTCTGTGTGTCACCTCTTCCAGAAAGCCCTCCCGGATTGCCCCGAAGCCCTGGACCTCATCCTGGACCCTCCACAACTTGTCCACTTGACCTCCTAAGGGTCTCTCCCACACACCCCTTTTTTTCCTCCCTTCCACAGCCTCGACTTGCCTTCTCCCACCTGGGTCCCCACTCCTGCCACCTCCCTTGGCTCCCAACCTCCACCCAACCCTTCTAGTTCCCCCTCCATCTAAATCAAACTCAACCCGCTCCTGCTCAAAAACCTCTCTATGTCCCCCACCAGCCCCTGGTGTCTTCAGGACAAAGTCTCAGATCCTCAGTGTGGTTCCTAGAGCTCTGAATGATCTCCCCTTAATAACCTCTTCGGCTTACTTTCTCACCATCTTTTAGATCCCATCCATATTTAATATCTTTCGGTTCCTTGAACTGAAACCACACTTTTACCACCAAACACGCCCACAGCTGCTGCCCCTGCCCAGCACACCTTTCTCTTCTCTTCATGTCGCTCATTCCTATCAGCTCCTGTGCCCCCTCCCCCAGGAAGCCCTTCCTGACTCCTGGGCTGGTCCAGAATCCCCGCTTTGGGTTCCAACAGTCCCTGAGCTTCTCCATCCCAGCCCTGACCCTTCTGCCTATGCTTCCCCAATCCCAGCCCTCTGGGCTGGCCCGGCCTGGTGATGAGGCTGTCTGTCCCACTGGACTGTGAAAACCATGAGGGCAGCACATGGCTGTCTCAGTCACTGCTGTGTGCCCAGTACCACCCAGTATAGGGATGGTACATGGCGGGTGCTCAATTCATTCATCTGTTCATTCGACTAGTATTTGTTCAGTGACTACTTGCTGGTAAGGCCTGTGTAGACACCGGGAATACAGCACAAAACAGAAAAAAACAAAAATCCTAGTAAAGATGATATTCTCTTGGGGGTGACAATAGAGGAGTGAAACATAGAGTATGCGCTTTGGGGAAAAATAAAGAAGGGAGGGGCAGAGCAGCATCACAATGGAAATTGGCTGATCTATCAGCTCAAAAATACCACCACACCCCCGCACATCTGGGGGCAAAGCACTGTTAGCCCCATTTTTCAGATGAGGCAGGAGGGGTCGGGGAAATCTCTGCTCAGGTTGTACGGCGTTAGTTTGTCGGTATGGAATTCGAACCCAGAGCTCAGTTCTGTTCCGGGACACTATGATGTGGAACCAACTCATGAACATAAAATAAGGCAGAATGTCTTTTCCTTACCCCGCCCCCTCCCCGGAAGAGGGCAGAGCTCCTTGTTTACTGAGCCAACAGCTGCTGGAAGCACCTTACGTATTTAATTTCTCACACTGGTCCTTTTCTTAGCCTCATGTAACAGATAAGAAAACTAAAGACCCAGAGGGCAGCGCGGGGCTGTCTCAGTCAAGTCATGGGCACAAAAAGACACAGCTAGGAATGGTGGAGCCAGGATCTGATCCCGAGCTGCCTCGGGGTCCCGGGTGTAGACAGCTGCCTCTCGTGTTATTTATCATCTGTAGATCTGTGGCTGCCCACTACCACCCACCCCCACCCCCCGCCCTGCCCCCAATAGCACCTGAACCCAGAGGTGGCATTGGCTTCTCAGAAACTCTCCCAACATCTCCTCCTCCTCTCCCTCCCAGTCTTTGAGAAGGACGTTGGAAGCTTTCTCCAAATATAAAGGATATGTGAGTGCAGCTTTAAGAGGACAACTCTGGCTCTCCTTCCAACCAGGTGGCTCTTGCCAATCCATTCTTGGCAGAAGTTCTGGAGCTGCGGCTGCTGTCTCCTATCACATCAGATTAAGTCTCTCTTCTCCTCCAAATCCTCCCGTGGCTCCCGCCTCACTCAGGGTAAAGGCCAAGTCTTCTCCGTGGCCCATGAGTTCAGATGATCTGCCCCCTCCCTCCTCTGACCTCACCCCCACTCCTCTCCTCCCTCATTGGCTTACTTGCTATTCCTGAAATATTCAATGTATGCCCCGACCTCAGGGCCCTTGCATTTCTCTCCTTGCTGTTCTCTCTGCCTAGAATGCCCTTCCCCATAGAGCCACATCACTCTCTCCCCTCCTTCAGGTCTTTGTTCAAATGCACCATCTCAGATAACCTTCCCTGACCACCTTATTTAAAACTGTGACCTTTGGGCGCCTGGGTGGCTCAGTTGGTTAAGCCACTGCCTTCGGCTCAGGTCATGATCCTGGAGTCCCGGGATCGAGTCCCGCATCGGGCTCCCTGCTCGGCAGGGAGTCTGCTTCTCCCTCTGATCTTCTCCCCTCTCATGTGTGCTCTTTCTCTCAAATAAATAAAATCTTTAAAAAAAAAACAAAAAAACAAACTGTGACCTTTACCATGTATTCCCACCCCTCTTCTGGTACATCATTGAATCTACTTACCCATTCGCTTGTTGTCTCTTACCCCTGCTAGAATGTAAACTCCATGAAGCCAGGGATCTCTGTTTTGTTCACTGCTGTGTCCCCCAAGCCTAGCAGTGTTGGGCATGTAGAACATGCTTAGTAAATATTTGTTGAATGAGTAACTGTGTTTTTATTCCCATATTGCAGATGCAACAACTGAGGCACAGGCACGTGAAGCCACCTCTCAAGGCCATGCAACTATTTAAGTACTAAGTGCTAGAACCAAGATTGGAACCAGGGTTCCAGCTCCCAGGCACACATTGCTAACCACTGTCCCACACTGCCTCTCTAAGGTAAGCTGAGTGAATAAGATACTGACCTCTCTACCCAAGCATTCAGGGTTGCTGAGGTTTGACTGAGGTGTACTGGGACCTGCCTCATCTCTCTGTACCCCCGATTCTAGAAGTCAAGGGAATCTGGGTCTAAGCTAGCTAGCCCCCCCCCCACTACTCCTGGACTCCCGCTATAGCATCAGCTCAATGCTCTCATTTTGGGGGTGGGGGAACCACTCAATCCATCAACGTAGAGATAGGGTTAAGTATTTACCCGAGCAAGGTTTGCGATGGCCGATGGGCCACCCCCTCAGGTGGGGTGACGTGGCAGAGATGAGAACATGGGAGACTGTGACGTGGGGTGGCGTGGGGTGGTTGCCGTGGCAGAGGGTATCATGATACAGGGAGTGTACCTGCGCCATGGGAATGAAGAGGGCTGCTGAGGGCAAGTGACAATGAAGAGGTGATGAAGGTGACTGCAGACTGCATGAGGGTGAGGGGGACATGGTTAATAACATTATTAGCCCAAATCACCACATCAAGCTGCACACATCACAAGAATAAACTCGCAGAATCCTCACAATCATCCTTGACATAGGTGTCCTTGTGTGCGGTTTACAGCTGAGGAAGCTGAGATTGCGAACGTGGGATCAGGTGGTCAAGGTTACCCAGAGCTTTCACGGTAGAGCTGGGGATCTGGCACACCCCAGGGAACAGGCTCTAGTAGCCCATGTAGTGGTGAGTATGTGAGAGGTGACACGGGAAAATGACGGAGACGTGGAAGGAAAAAAAAACAACTGGAAGGCAGAGTGGCTCCTTATGGGGAAAACTAGGCGCATGTAAGGCATGGACAGTGAGAGTCAGGAGCAAAGGTGACACGGCAGGAACGGAGACATAAAGGGTGAAAATGACATTAGGGAAGCGTGACTGCAATTTAAGGATTTGGTGACAGGAGCGTGTGCAGGTGAACGGGGGTATGATGACGACTTAGAAGAAGTGAGGACTTCATAAAGGAAAAATAGCAACAAAAGAGGGGCGCAGGCGACATAAGGCGATGGCGGCGTAATGAGGGAAGGCTGCAATGTAGGGTGGCAACGGGGGCTTAGAACGAAAGCTTATTAAGGGGGTTGACAGCGACATAGATAGGGTGATGGCGACAGAAGTGGAGTGGTGACCATTCAACCGGGATGCGACATAAATAAGGGGGAGGATGGCTACATAAAAGGACACTGGATGACATAAGGGGAGAAATGCATTACAGAGGGAAGGACGACACGAAGAGGGTAGCAGAGGCGCCGCGCCCCCAGATCGCACAGTACCTGCACTCCACGTCTCCCACTCCCGGACCCAGCCCCGCAGGCACCTTCCAGGCTGGAGCCCCGCCCGGCCACCCCCGCCGCGCGCAGGCGCACTCCGGCAGGACTGCGGGACGACGGGGGCTAGGCATGTGCCTTTCTCATTGGCCGCGCTCCTCGCTAGCGCGGGGCGGAGAGAAGCGCCTGGGAGACAGAGGGAGGTCACGTGACAGTTGCGACCAAACTCTCGCTGGTGGCGGTCCGGCGGGCCAGAGCGGCCGCCGGTTGGTGGGTCCGGCTTCCGGTGGCGAGGGCGGTGCTTCCGGGGAGGGCAGCCGGGCCGAGGGAGGAGGGTCTGACAGTTGGAGCTGCCGGGAGGGAGGGCGGGCAGCGCGTGTGGGCGCGGGCGCGGAGGGTCAGGTGAGGCGCGGGCCACGGACGGGGTGGTGGGACCGGGCAGGATGCGGAGGGGATGGATGGTGTCCTGGTTCTGGAATCAGTCTCGGCGACGCTCTGCGGCCCGGACAAGCGACTTCTTTCTCTGAACCTCAGTTTCCTCCTCTGTAGAATGGGGGCCAGAATCTGACTGTAGCATCCTCCTTACGGCTTAGAGTGAGAGGTCCGCTCGTGCATGTCGGAGACCCTAGTTCAGCGCCTAGCACACTGCACACTTCGTTAGTATACTATTATTATTAGTACTGTACCGATGATAATGTTTGCGCTTGGCGTGGAAGATCTGGGTGTGGGAGCGTGCCATTGGAGGCCCGCCGATTTCGGTTCCAGTCCCAGCCCAGCTTTGTGGGAGTAGGCCTATGCCTGAACCTCTCTGGACCTCATTTTCCTAATCTATACAATGAGGGTTAGTAGTTCTATACCATAGGGTCGTTGTGAGGATGCTGATGAAATGTGCGTGTAAATCCCTTAGCACAAGGGCTTCGCACAGTATTGAGTAGGAGCTCACTGTATTGGGACTATGATGATAATGATTCTGGGAGTCACTGGTGTAGCTGGGACTTTCGGGGAAGTAGAGGGTAGGAGGAAGCTCAGAGACAGCAATAGGAAAAACTCGGAATCTGGAATTGGGCAAATCGACATCCTGCCACTTACTGTTTGACCAATTTTGCCAGATCTCATAGATTTAGATTTTTCTTTTCTTTAAAAATCACTGATGCATTTTTCCTCCAGTCAGTTAATTTGAGAAGGAAATTTCGTATTGGCGTACTTATGGAAAACTAGCATTGCTGGCCGTGAAAAGAAGGAAAACGTAACCTGAAATACAACAGAAACTGAATAGTCTATTTAAATTGTAGACAGAAGCTGAAAGAGAATTGAAAAGGGAATATCACGGTCCCACGGGCACTGTCAAGTTATACTCTGTTCTTTGCTCACACTTTGCATGTGGCTGACATTAGGTCAGTGACTGTCCTACCCTTTCTCTAGCTCACCGAAGTTTGATTTATTTAATGCATATGTACATAGCACTTATCACCTGCCCAGCATTGTTTTAAGGACTCGGTGTTTATGAACTCACTTCATCCCTCTAACCATTTTAAGAATAGATACCCCTATTATTCTTGTTTTCTATTTGAGGGAAGTGACATCCAGAAAGGTTAAGGGTAACCCCTGACCCCCAGGGGCGGGGTTTGGAAGTGGTAAAGTCAGGATGTAGATCCAAGCCTTTCAAGGGCTTAGCAAGGGAGTCTGATACATGGTAATTGCTTGAGTTTTAGGAACTGTCATTTGCTATTATTATTAATGTTCCAATTTTCACTGTTTAGAAAGTGCTGGAGATGGGCTTTTAATGGAGGAGAGAGGCAATTGAGTCCAGCAGGGGGACTTCTGCAGCTGTAGGGAGAGGATACCAGTTCCCAAAGGCTTCTGGTAAGCATTAACTGACACCTCGCAGAGACTGACCACAGCGCCTGGGTTGTAGTAATCCCTCAGCCAGTGTTAGTCATAGGCATTGGACTGACTTGGCCCTATAGTTCCTTGCTGTGTGACCTTGGACCTGCCACTTTAATTTGTAACATGGGGATCATTTTAACTTTTTTTCCCCGGGTGGTTGTGAGAGACACTGAGCTGTGTATACTCAGTGCCTGGCATGTAAACTTTCGACAAGAGTTACTGACTGGGCAGTGGATCAGGGAGAACTTGTTTTCGAATCCCAGTGAAGTCACTTGGTAAATGTGGCATTTGACAGATGACTGTACCTCGATGAGTTGTTTTTTTTTTTCATCGATTAAAATGGGGCTAATAATAGTCCTCCCTCATGAGGAGGTTGTGAGGTGTCAGCATGATGCCTGGCTCCGGTCCTGGTGCATAATCAGTGCTTGGTATGTGACATGTTGTCTTTCTGTCTGATATATTGAAGCCTCACCATGCCCTGTCCTTGGAGAGATGCTGGTGGTGTTGGCTTTGTCCAGTGGCAAAATCCAGAAGGCAAAGTAGATCTTAGGAGTCAAGTGCGGGTCAGAGTGATGTCTGTGGTCCTGTTTATCAATAAGAGACGCAACAGCAGCATCAGAGAAGGCCAGGATGAACCCCCGTTGGAGGCAGAGGGGAGAGTCTCACATTTGGGGACTTTGGGAAAGCTTCACAAAGTGGGTGACAGCCAAACAGAGTGAGGGAGAGCTTGCCAGGAGGACAGGATGAGAAAGCATTCCAGGCACAGGTGAGCCTCCGTGGGAAAACCGGGAGGCACGCAAAGCCCTAGTCGGAGGAAAGGCTAAGACAGGAGGCCTGAGAGGTAAGAACAGCCAATGCTTCCAGACTCTTAGGGTACATGGGCACTGCCTCAGGTACTCCGAGCATAGAAGCTCATCTGGCGTTCTAGCCGTCCTCCAAGAGAAGTAACATCTGTACCATCTCGATTTCCAGATGGGGACACCAGGCCTGACTGGTGAAGGAACTTGCTGAGACCACGCAGCTAGGAAGTGGTAGAGAGCCAGATTTGAACCCCGTGGTCTGGTTCCAGAGTCCTTATTCTCATACCGTCTCGGTTGTACCAACAGAATGGGGGCAGGGAGGGGCGTTTAGTGGGATGGTGAGCAGAAGGGGTCTTCTGCTCCCTGTGGAGCAAGCAGAGGAAGGTGAGGGAGAAGGATCAGAATGGGGGGCCAGGGGGCGCCTGGGTGGCTCTGTTGGTTAAGCGTCTGCTTTTGGCTCAGGTCATGATCTCAGGGTCCTGGGGCTCCTTGCTCAGTGGGGAGTCTGCTTGTCCTTCTGCCCATCCCCCCACTCTCATGCTCTCTCTCTCAGATAAATAAAATATTAAAAAAAAAAATCAGGGGTCGGAGTGGGTAGAGGGGAGTAGAGTGAAGGAAGAGGGCAGAGGGCTTGGAGCAGAGGGTAGGGCCAGAGAAGGATAGGGCGGCTGAGTGGGACAAGTGGTCCTGGAGGCAGATCGCAGTGAATTATCAGGCAAGGAAGTTTTTCCCTTTAGTTTCCTTTTTTTTTTTTTTTTTTTTGATTTTATTTATTTATTTGACAGACAGCATAAGCAGGGGACGCTGCAGCTGGGGGAGAGGGGGAAGCAGGCGCCCCGCTGAGCAGGGAGCCCAACTCGGGGCTCGATCCCAGGACCCTGGGACCATGACCTGAGCCACCCCGGTGCCCAGTAATGTTCAGGGGAAAGTCCCCGTTGGTGCTAATGTGTCCTTAACAGCTTTCTGGCACCCGCTCGTCTTACTTAAGTGGACGTTGGTTTTCCATTTCTTGTCCGAGGCTCTCCTGATGTGGTGGCCCACCTCTCTGCCCTCAGCTCCTCCTACTTGCCTCTACTTCCCGCAGTCACCCCGGCTCCGTGCCGTCTCGCACCCATGCCAGATGGGTTCCTGGCTCTGGACACTGGACTTGCTATACCTTCTCCTGGAACGCTTTTCCTCTGTAAAACCACGGGGCTCACTCCTCCACCTCTTTCGGGTCTCCTGTCGCTTTAGAGGGGTCTCCCCTGTTCGCCCCATTTCGAATCACAACCCCTCCCTGCCTTGCCAGGCCCTCTCTGTTCTGCGTGACACCGAGGGCTTTCTGACTCACCGTATTGTGATCCGTTTTGCTTGTTTACTCTCTCGTCCCCCTTCCCCTGTCCCCACCTAGATGCCACGCTCTGTATTTCTGTTCACCTCAGGATCTTTAGCTCCTAGAATAGTGCCTCGCACGTTGTAGGCTGTCGGTAAATAATTTGTGAATGGATGACTAATGGGCATTCATATGGTTAAAGTCTTGAGCGGGGGGGTGGTGGCAGTGGGGGGTGTCTTTTTTTTTTTTCTCTCCCTCTCTTATCCCAGCCAGAAACTTCTGAGGTGTGTGGGGATGGAGCTGTAGACATTTGCCATCCCTGGGCCTTGTCCCAGGCAACCATGAGAGTTGTGGCAGCTCTGTCCCAGGCTGACTTCCTGCCAGGTGTTCAGGCTATTCCTGGGCTGTGAGCCCCCAGCCTGGGCAGTCTCCTCTGGCTGGCAGGCAGGCCCGACAGGCAGCGAAGGAGGAACAAACACTCATAGCCCGATGGCGACTCATGGGCCCTCTGCCCTTGTTCTCTCTTCCAGGCTCCCGGGAGCAGCACCAGAGCCGGAGAGACAATGGTCTCAGTGACTATGGGTGAGTCTGTGGCCTTCTCTCCGGGGCTCCCCCTCCCCAGTGCCCTTTCTGAGGTATGACCTTGGACGAGGTGGGGGAGGGAGGGCCAGGTCACTGGCAGGAACAGCTGTTGCCTGAGGACCTCGGAGGCGGGGCTGCGGCCTGCCCAGGGCCTAGCCACTCTGTATCTTGGCCTCCCGATGGCATAGTCTAGCCTTAAAGAACTTGGTGATGTGGAGCCCAGCAGAGCCTCAGTTTTTTCACCTGTAAAACGGAGAAACTAGCAGTCCCCACGTCCTGGGATGCTGTAAGGGTTAAGTAGGTTATTGCATGTCCGACCTTGGGCATGGTTCCCAACAAATGTTAGCTGTTAGGATTCTCATAAGCCCCATCACTATATTCTCTTTAAGCTCTGCACCGTGGGATTGCCAAAGCACAGAGGTTAGCGGGTAGCTTGTATGTTTTTTGAGATTTGTGCCTATAGAGAAGTACATAGGACATCCTTGTGTGGTCATGAGAGCAATTAGAAAGTAAACGTGGGACTACATCCTTTATGATTCCATTTCTATAAAGCACAGAAACAGGCAAAACCAATCCATGCTGTTGGAAGGTGCTGGCTGCCCTCGAGAAACAGAGAGACATCACTACATAGGGAATGTGGTGGGGGCAGGGGGGGTTTCTGGGGTGTTGGAAATGTTCTGTCTCTTGCTCTGGGTGTGGCTTCTTTTGCTCCGCATAACGGCCGGAAGTCCCCTCTGGCTGCGTGTAGCTGCAGTTCTTTCCTTTGAGCTGCTGTGTAGTATTTCTTGCGTGTGACCACCCTTGGTTTCTCTGCTTCTGTCCACGATCCTGCATTGCTTCTGGGCTGGGGCTGTTAACAGACCAGCTGCTGTGAATATTCCAGTGTGTGTCTCCTGCTGTGTATGGCAAACTGTACGTCACTGAGTCCACGACACATGTTGTGTGTCCCCTCTTACTCTTTCTGGAATGGGGGTGCTCCTGACCATTTACTTTGCAGCATATTTTTCTCTTTAGTAGGACGTGAAATGATGGCAAGGGCCCGATGTGGGGACGTTTGCAGTTCCTCGACTTTGCTTCAGGCAGCTAGCCACCCCCAAACGATGTGGCTTCTTTTCCCCCCTTAATAACAACATAACTGAGATACGGTTCACATTTTATATGATTCCCCTATTTTAAAAAGTGTCCAGTTCAGTGGTTTTTATATTCTGTGTTCAGAGTTCTGCAGCCATCAGCACAGTCAGTTTCAAAACCTTTTCATCACTCCCCGAAAGCCCCCATACCCATTAACTAACAGTCACTCTCTTCCCTGCCAGCCCCTGGCAACCACTAATCTGCTTTCTGTCTCTGTAGATCTCTATAGATATTTACCTATTCTGGACATTTCATATAAGTGGGATCATTATGTGTGTTTTCTTTAATGGACAAAGTTGCCTGCTTTTGGCTAATGGAACCCAGGGCCCCATGCCTGGGCAGGTGGATAGTGCCTGTGTAAGGCAGAAAAAGGCCCCCTGTCCTCTGGGCTGGTGGCAGAAGTCCTAAGGGCATGAGCTCCTCACCTCCCCTCAATCTTGGGGAGATAGGCCTGTGGCCAGGTGGGCAGAGGGGTGGCCCCTGGGCCTGTGCCCGATCCCTGAAGTCACCTAGACCAGAGTCTCTTTCCCCACTCTGAGCCTCAGTGGTTTTATAAGCAAAATGGGCATAGCAGTAGCAAATTTCTTGTTTTGATGGTTGGGTGTAGTGCTATTAAAGAAAAAAGTTTCCCCAGTGAAACCACGGCACACCATTGATTGCCCGGTGGCTCTTAGTTTCAGAGATGTTAAAATGTGAAAAGAAAGTTCTTAGAATTAGTGATCTTATCTAACACCCGTTGGCCAGACCAGGGTCAGTTTGAAGGTCACACCCAAGAGGCTAAACAGACAAGTTTAGAAAAAAATAAGGCTTCATGGGTGGGTGTGTCCCTGGTCTTGGCCTTGGCGGTGGTAGTGGTGGCAGAATAAGAATAGCAGCAGCTGCTATGAGATGAGATTGTCCCCTGGGCCAGGTGTCACTCAAAGTCCTTTATGGGGCTTTATGGGGCCTCTCACCGAGTCTGCACAGTGATCCAAGTATGCAAGAATGTGGGCGTTATCACTGGAACGTGAGCTCGATGAGGGCAGGGATGTTGTCTTGTGTCCTGGAATCCCCGGTCCTTAAAAATGGGACCTGGCCTGTGCCAAGTCCTCCATAAGTCCTTACTGAGTGTATTATCCCTAAATTTACAGAGGAGGAAACGGAGACCCCCAAGCTTTAAGTTCCCATAGGCCCTTAGCCAGGAGGTGGCAGAGCCAGAATTTGAACGCAAGCACCAAAGCCTCTGCTTGCTGCTTCTGTGGTGAGGAGAGGGCTTGCTGGCGCTCATAGGCCGGCTGTGTCCCTTCTTTCCGGTCACCTGTGGATCCTGTCACCCTCGGGAGCTGGGCCTGCCAGTGGGGACCAGGGCGGAGAACCCAGAGCCCCGGCTCCCTGAACTCGGGCACTGGCCAAGCGTGGGGATGGTCGTGGTGGCTCGCAGCCAGGGCAGAGCTGTGAGCAGGAGGGCCGTACAGAAGCACATGGGCTTCGGGCTCTCAGTCCCCTCAGGCCTCCTTCGTGGCCTCAGTCTCCTGGTTGGCAGAGTGAGGCGGTCCTGATGCTGCTGAGCTCCTCACAGGGGTGTGGGCGGGCTGAGTTCCACTGCTTCCGTGAAGCGCTCGGCCAGGACCTGGCGTACGGTGAGCATTTAATTTGTGGGAGCCGTGGTTTTGCGGCTACTCTTCTCTGGAGAGAATAATGGGAATAATGAGCCCTGTCCATCCCCCAGCCACTTCCGAGTGGATCCAGTTCTTTAAGGAAGCCGGCATTCCTCCGGGGCCTGCTGTCAATTACGCTGTGATGTTTGTGGATAATAGGTAAGGGGGCCAAGGGGACAGAGCGGGAACTTGGAGAGAGGAGGGGAGAGGTGGGGGGAGAAGGGAGCTGGCTGGCCCATCCGTCCTGACCCACTTGTGGCCTCACTGGTGACCCTCCCCTGCAGGATCCAGAAGAGCATGCTGCTGGATCTCAACAAAGAGATCATGAATGAGCTGGGCGTGACTGTGGTGGGCGACATCATTGCCATCCTCAAGCATGCCAAGGTGGTGCACCGTCAGGTGGGTGCGCAGCCCAACCCCTTGGTCCCTCGGTTTAAGGTGCGGTGGAGGGACGGTAGCAGAGCCAGCAGGAGGCTTGGAAGCAAAAGCAGGCAGACCTGAGTTCCAAGGCTGGTTGTACCATTTGCTGTGTGACATTGGGCGTGTTGCCTAACCTCTCTGAGCCTTTCTTTCTCCATTGGTAGAATGCAGATAGGCAGACCTATCTTGCAAAGTGGTTTATTTATTTATTTATTTTATTTATTTATTTATTTATATTTATTTATTTGAGAAAGAGAGAATGAGAGACAGAGAGCACGAGAGGGAAGAGGGTCAGAGGGAGAAGCAGACTCCCCGCTGAGCAGGGAGCCCGATGTGGGACTCGATCCCGGGACTCCAGGATCATGACCTGAGCCGAAGGCAGTCGCTCAACCAACTGAGCCACCCAGGCGCCCCGCAAAGTGGTTTATTTAACCGAATTAAATAAAGCCCCAGTACAGTGTAAATAGTTGGGCCTCAGTAAAGGCTCTCTATTAATCATTACTAGTTCTCATCTTCCTCATAATGATGATCATCATTAGCAGGACTCTTCTCTGTCCCCAGGACAGGAGCTCCCCCTGTGGGACTCGGTCGGTGACTTGGCCAACAACATGGTTATTCCATTCTTGGCCCTTCCACTTACAGTGACCTTAGACAAGTGATCTTTACCTCCCTGAGTCTCTCTGAAACAGGCTTTTCACACTCCACTCCTGTATAGGGGACTGTGGCCACCTACCAGATAGTGTGTGTGGCACCGAGGCCAGACCTGGAATGAAGAGCTTGTTGAATCTTGATAGCTGACACTTACCGAGGCTTTACCATAGCCTGTCAGGACCTGTCTCCATCCTTTACTCATTTTAACTCATTTATTGCGCACTCCACTCGACTGAGAAGCAAGCTTGCCTCAGAGCTGTGCTCTCAGACCCTCACTTTACCAAACGCTGGCTGCTTCCCCGACCCAGGGACCGGCCTTCACCTGGCCATCATCCAGCCAGGACCCCACAGCGAGCACTCTGTCAAGTCAGGGGCATTCCCCGAGTTATCACAGAACAGGCCACTGAGCAAAGCTTTTTTTCCCCCTTTAAACTTTTAAATTTGGGAACAACTTTAGGTTTACAGAAAAGTTCTGACAACAGTACAGAAGGTTTCTGTATCTCCTTCCCTAAGCTTCCCCTCATGCTAGCACCGCGCGTAAACATGGCGCGTTTGTCAAAAATAAGAAGGGAACGTTAGCACGCTCCCACTAACTACACCACAGACTGCTTGGATTTTCTCAGTTCTCTTTCACCGATGTCTTCTTCCTCTTCCGCGAATACCACCATGCAATTTACTTAAGTCTCCTTACGTCTCCTTGGTCTCTGTTAATTTGCGACAGTTCCATAGTCTTGCCCAGTGTTTGATGAACTTGACAGTTTTGAAGAGTACTGCTCAGGTGTTTTGCAGAACGTTTCTCCGTTTGGGTGTGTCTGCTGCTTTCTCATGGTTGGGAGTGAAATGTTCTGAAATCTCTTCTCTAGCAGCTCGGACTCTGATCCCTCCAGTGTTGCTCAGATTTCTGTTCCCGGACCTCATGCCCTTGTCCCTCTGGTAACCCAGACGCCTGGTTTTTTTTTGTTTTTTTTTTTTGTTTTTTACAGGACATGTGCAAGGCTGCCACTGAGTCAGTGCCCTGCAACCCCAGCCCCATCCCAGGCGAGATCCGCCGAGGCGCCTCTAGCGGTGAGTCCCACCCACCTAGGAGTCCTTCCCTTTATTCATGTAGTTTAGTTGTCAAGGGGACACACCTGGAGTCTGCATCTCAGGTTCTCTCAGCCGCTGATTTTCATTGGTGGCAGTTCTGTTCTATAAAGTTCTATTAAGCGAACACTGAATTAGCGAGTCCCGAGTCGCTGCTCCCGGAGGAAATACAAGGTTAGGTTCCTGCGAGCCTCTGGTTACAACATCTTTGCCAACTGATCAGTGCAGACCCGACTTTATGTGTGTTTCTGTTTAAAGACTTTTCATCTGTTATAGGTCGATGCGTTAACATCGAGCCGGGGACCAGCAGCACTATAACGCGTGCCTGGACAAAGCTAATCTAACACATATATTTTCTCCGTGAGGCACATCACTTGGGAATACTAGAAACCACCTTGTCACTATGCTTGGGGGCCATTTTAAACAGCAAAATCACTAACAAAAAGCACAAAAATGTAAAAACATGGCACGAAATAGACCGCGAGAAGCCTACTTGTTTACTTGTGTGAGAGCTGACACAACAAGGCAGAGCGTCACCTCGTTTGACTTCAGGGGGCGAGTGGGTGTCAGGTGACTCAGGTCTTTCACTGTTCAGTGCCTGGCTGTGGATGACCACAAAAGCATCACAAGTATTGGTTTTGGGGTTACAAATCAATGTTAGCGAAGAGGCACATTTGCAAGTAGGGAATCTGTGAATGGTGGGAACAGACTGTATTTATACATTTGTTTTTTTTCAGCAGTGTGATACCTTTTTTTTTTTAAAGGTTTTATTTATTTGACAGAGAGAGACACAGCAAGAGAGGGAACATAAGCAGGGGGAGTGGGAGAAGGAGAAGCAGGCTTCCCATTGAACAGGGAGCCCGATGCGGGGCTCGATCCCAGGACCCCGGGATCATGACCTGAGCTGAAGGCAGACGCTTAATGACTGAGCCACCCAGGCGCCCCAGTGTGATATCTTTTTAAGAAAAATAAACTTGAGGGGTACCTGGGTGGCTTAGATGGTCAAGCATCTGCCTTTGGCTCAGGTCATGATCCCAGGGTCCTGGGATCGAGCCCCGCATCGGCCTCCCTGCTCCGCGGGAAACCTGCTTTTCCCGCTCCCTCTGCCACTCCCCTTGCTTGTGTTCCCTCTCTTGCTGTGTCTCTCTCTGTCAAATAAATAAAATCTTTAAAAAAAAAAAAAAGAAAAAGAAACTTGGGGCTCCTGGATGGCTCAGTCGTTGGGCTTCTGCCTTCGGCTCAGGTCATGATCCCGGGGCCCTGGGATCGAGCCCCACATTGGGCTCCCTGCTCGGCAGGAAGCCTGCTTCTCTCTCTCCCACTCCCCCTGCTTGTGTTCCCTCTCTCGCTGTGTCTCTCTCTCTCTCTTTCAAATAAATAAATAAAATTTAAAAAAAAACCTTTATTTTTATTTTTTTAAGATTTATTTATTTGTCAGAGGGAGAGGGGGGTAGAGAGAGAAAGATCAAGCAAGCAAGCAGAGGGAGAAGCTGGCAGGACCCCGGGATCATGACCTGAGCCGAAGGCAGACACTTAACCAACTGAGCCACCCAGGCATCCCAAGAAAAATAAACTTTAAAAAAAATCTTATATGCATATTAGCCTTTGCTGCATAACAAGCCCCAAATGGGTTTAAAGCACTGACTTTTTATTTCTCATGATTTTATGACCTGGGCGGTCAGTTCTGTTCTGGGCCAGCTCAGCTGATCTCAGTGGTCATCTAGCAGCTCGGTTGAGGCTGGGTGATCTAGCATGGCCTCACTCACACGTCTGGTGGTTGGCTTGATGTCATCTGGGCCAACAGAGGTGACTGGGCCACATGTCGCTCGTTTTCCAGCAGGCGAGCCTGGGCTCGTCCACACGGTGCTGATCGTAGGGTTACCCAGAGCAGCATGAGAGGGCAGGCCCCACGGTGCAAAGCACCTCTTAAGCTTCCGCTTGTATAACTCTTGCTCTTGTCCCATTGGCCAAAGCCCGTCACGTGCCTGAGCCCAGCGTCGGTGTGGGCAGTGCCACCCAAAGGCATGGACAAAGGGAGGCTGAACAAATTGGGAGTTCTTTCCTGCGACAGTCTGCCTGAACTTACATCTGGGAAAGTGTGCGATCATGAAGGTACAGCTGAATCACTTTCCACAGGCGCAACGGCCGTGTAGCTAGCCGCATCCAAATCCAGAAACAGAAACCTGACCAGCATCACTGCCCCCCTTTCCGGGGCACCCATTACCCTGATTTCCCACAGCACAGAATGTCTATTTTTGTTAGTCTTTTTTGCTAGTCTGTCAAGTATATAAAACTGAAGTCAGATAGTGTGTATTTTTTATAGCCTTCTGAAGGTCTTCGTTTAAAACAAATTTAAAAAAACTAACAAAATTACTAGTGGAGAAAATAGGCAATTGGGAGGAATAGGGGAAACAGGCAAAGAGGGAAAGGGAGTAGGGAAGAATGTTCCAGAACAGCATTTTTGGTACACTCACTTGTATGCACTTTATAATATACGCTTTTGAATATGCGTGTCTGTATCTGTGTGTCTGACATCTGACTACAGCTTAAATTCATTAGGGCAGAGACAGTTGTTTTCTTCCACCTCAATGGTAATTACCCGTCGTGATGAAACATCACATCCCTTATCCCTTTCAAGCAAGGTGTTTCCCCCTGGGTACACTGCAAGAGGCAGGGCCTCTCAGCTGCGTACCTTCTATAGCAGACCATCCCAGCCACCCCAGGAGGTTCTGCACAGCTCACCAGAAAGCCACCCCCATCCGGCTTCAGAGCTGTCTGAAGAAAAGTCTTGGGAAAACTGTGAAAGGGTATATACCGGTCATTACCAGGGGAGTGAGCCGGGCTGAAAACCGACCATTTTTTCCTGGTAGGGGGAAGGAGGAGGTCTGATTGGGAAGGGCCAATCCCCGGACTTTGGAAAGCTCCAATTCTTCTTCTTTTTCTTTTTGTTCAATTTAAATTTAATTAGCCAATTTCTAATACATCATCAGTTTCAGATGTAGCGTTCAGTAATTTATCAGTTTCATATAATACCTGGTGCTCATCACAATCATGTGAGGAAGGCTCCCAATTCTTGACCTGGGTGGTGGGTATGTGGGAGTTGACTTTCTGTTAAGTGGTCTGTGTAGGTTTGATGGATTTTTTCTGTATGCTCTACTTATAATTTCAAAAACCAACCAAGCAACATATAATTGTAATAGCATATCAAGGGTCAGTATGGGGGACTTCAGTAGGTTTTGAGAGAGAGCACATAGCAGAAAAAGGGAAGGCTTTTAGGGGGTGGGTAGGGTGGAATACCAAAATCTAAAAGCCAGTGGGGTGGGGGGTCCCCGGGACTGTGGAGCAAGCCGGGGCAGCATGAAGGTCTTCCCCAGGAGCTTTTGAAACCCGGGCCCTAAAACCAGCTACACTGTGCCCGAGATGAGACCCGTGTCCTTCCCACACTGGGGCTGGCCCTCCCATCTGCGTGGCGTAGCTCCCCCCTGGTGCCCTGGGATCCCTCCTTCGGCTCCGCAGAAGACTGGGGCCACCAGAGACGGCCCTCACTCCTGTCCCTCACCCCCAGAGGGACGCCACTGCATGTCTTCCCATGGCCCTCCTGGAGCCGGACTCACCATTGCTCAGGGGCCTGGCGGAGGGACCCCTCCTGGAGTCCCTGCTTCCTCACCTGTAAAATTGGCTTGCAGTAGATCCTGTTCTGGTAGGGATGTTGGGATTTTCCGTGAGAGTGTTCATTTTTTCCAGTGGATGTTTATGGAGGACCTGTGAAGTGCCAGAAACTGTTGCAACCTCTGGGGATACAGAAATAAACAGGCATTGTCTCCTGGTGGGGCCTGCATACTCGCCCGAGAGCCCACCAGTAGACAAATCCGTGTCATTTAGTGTCAAGCAGTAACTAGGGTTGTGAGACAAAAGCAAGCCTAGCATAGGGTCAGGCCGGTGGAGGTTGATGGAGTGGTGCAGGAAGCTTTCTCTGAGGAGGTGCCGTCGGAGAGGAGACCTGAGTGAAGAGCCAGGGCAAGCTGGTTGGTGCTCGGGTAACTGCATGCCAGGTCGAGGGAACAGCATGTGCTATGAAGAGGTGCTGGGTGGGGAAGATCCCCCAGACCAGCATGGTGAAGCGGAGCCGGGAGAGGAGCTTGGGTGAGGTGTGATGGGAACCAGGCTGGTCTAGGGCCACAGGAAAGGCCGCCACACAGCGAGGGGTGGGCTAGCTCCTGGTTAGACTGGCCCGCCCCCAGGCACCCCCATCATGGCCGTGTAGACACAGCGTGACTCTAGCTGCCCCTTCCCCATTCAGTCCCAAGACTTTCCTTCTCCGTCCTGGCCCCCATCCCCGGTGCCCTGGCACGACTGGACTCTCCCCTTTCCTCCCTGCAGCCGCCTCTCGAATGATCGCCAACAGCCTGAACCGCGACTCCCCACCCGGCACTCCCCCCAGGCGGCCGGACACCAGCACCTCCAAGATCTCGGTCACTGTGTCCAACAAGATGGCAGCGAAGAGTGCCAAGGCTGCCGGTGAGGGGACTTGGGTGGATGGCGGGACGAGCTGGGGGTGAGGGTGGGTTGGCAGATGGTATTCGGAGGTCATGTTCCCAATGTAGCTGGGTGCTTTGAAGACCACAGGGTGTCCAGAGCATTCAGGCTTGGTCAAGCCCCTGCACCTCTGTGGGCCTTGCTTTCCCAGTCTGTAGAATGGGGACAGTGGGAAGCCCTTGAGATGGTGTACCTAACAGTACAGGTGTATTGTAGTTCTCAGTGGTCGGTTCAGTTGTTTCAGATTTTTTATTTATTTTTTATTGTGGAAAGAACACTTCATGTTGACATTACCCTTTGCATAAGGTCTTAAGTGTTCAGTATAGTGCTGTGGACTATAGGTGGCTCAGTCTCTTTTCCCAGATGCTCACCAGGGCCCATACTGGTGCCAGGCCCTGTGCTTGAGGCAGGGGTCAGAGGTCAGGAAGCTACCGTTTCCTCTCAGCAGCCACGAGGATCCTTCCAGACCTTTGACCTGATCCTCTCACCCTGTGCTAGGACTCTCCGGAGCTTCCCATTGTTCCAGTAGTAAAGTCATCTTCCCACATGTCCTTATAGGCTCTGTATAATGTGCATCCATCTCCTGCATCTCTTCCCCTGGCTCCCTCCCATGTGTCCCTTCCAGGCTCCTTCCCATCGTGGGCCTTTCCCCTGATGTTCCTTTCTCCCAGCACACTCTTCCTCCAAAGACTTCTGTGCTTGGCCTTTGTTTTTCTTCCAGGTCTCAGCTTGAAAGCTGGGAATAGGACTCCGGCCTTTGGGCTTCCAAGCCCTCCTCCTGCTGTCTGCCCCACTGTCCTGCCTTTGTTGCCCTCACCCCCACAGCAAAGATCTTGGCACAAGTGGAAACTGAGGCCCAGGGAGGGGGGCCCTGTCCACCGCTGCCGCCCGTGCTCCCCTTCTGCCCTGTGTGTTTAGAAGTGCCTCCTCCCCGTCTTTGGCCTTTTTGATTTGTGTGTCATGAGCAAGAAAGTTAAAATTCATTTCTGAAGTATTGAAAGGACAGTGAGCCTGGGAGTGACCCGGCTCAGATGTGTTGAGGGGATTCTTTTTTTTTTTTTAATCTTAAGCGAGCTATAATTTACTTATGTACGATGTACACATTGTAAGTATACAGTTTGATTAATTTAAAAAAATTGTTACACCCGTGAAACCACCACCTAGCTGGAGCTCTTGAACCTTTCCCCCTTTCTGAAGTGACTCTGGCTGGGCTGGGAGGTCAGCCTACGGGGGGAGGGGGGGGCAGGGACAGAGCCATAGGGAGCCTTGCGAGGCCCGCCACCGAGTGGGGATTCTGAGCGCCATCAACAACCCTGTTGCACCTAGACCTCTGAATTTCTTGGTGGTTTGGAGTCGGTGGTGGTTGGGAAGATAAGGGATTCTAGTCATTCGAACACATGGAAATAAAGGGCACATTTGTGCCCTTCGCTGGGCGTCCAGCCCCCACCTCAGGAGAACATTCCATCCCAAAAGATGCTCACCTCCCCCCCCCCTCCCCAGCAGCCCTGGCCCGCCGGGAGGAGGAGAGCCTGGCTGTCCCCACCAAGCGGCGCCGGGTCACGGCCGAGATGGAGGGGAAGTACATCATCAACATGCCCAAAGGCACCACCCCCCGGACCCGCAAGATCCTGGAGCAGCAACAGGCGGCCAAAGGTATTGGCCCGGCGGGGGCGCCCTTGGGCGTAGAGGCTGCATTTCCCTTTGGTTGCATGGTGCGGGGTTGGTCACAGCTGCAGGCACTGGCTGAGAGGCAGGCTCTAGCGAGATCCAGGGGGCCTTGGACCGAGGGGACAGCGATGGTGGCCGTAGAGGAGGAGGACACGTCACTGCCTCCGCCCTGTCGTCCTGCAGTTAGTGTTGCAGGGTTCCTTAGTGCCTTGGCTGGCGCCTCTTCCCCGAGCGGTGGGGACTCGGACTCCGTGACTGCTTGCCTGTGACGTGGGGACCATGCCTGGCTGAGGGCAGGTGCCCAAAGCGTGGGAGCCATCATTATGAGCCAGAGGAGCCTGGTTGAGGTTCAGTCCCTAGCTGGGGTACAGAGAGGGTCTTCCCCACAGTGTTCCTTTTAGAATATTGTACATATCCTCATGGAAAAACATTCACATGGTGCAGAAGAATATACAGTACCGACGGACTCTGTCCCCTCACTCGCATATCCCACGCCATCGTTAACCTACCCAGACCAGCATCTGTGAGCTTGCATGCATGCATTTGTACATAGGCCCATATGAGTGTTTTTTAAAAATCACAAATAGCATCATCCTGTAGGTATTGTTCTAGAACTTTTTTTTTTTTTAAGTTTTTTTGGAGGGGGAGAGAGAGAGAGCATGAGCAGGGGGTGGGGGTGCGGGGAGAGGGAGAAGCAGACTCCCCACAGAGCAGGGAGCCCAATGCAGGGCTCGATCCCAGGACCCTGGGATCATGACCTGAGCCAAAGGCAGACGCTTAACTGACTGAGCCATTCAGGCGACCCATTCTAGAACTTTTGTATTGAGATCTTTTCACCTGGATTGTGGGTCTGCTTTCACTCTTTTTATTTTTTATTATTTATTTATTTATTTTAAAGATTTTATTTATTTATTAGAGAGAGAGTGAGAGAGAACAGGCAGGGGAGGGGCAGAGGGAGAAGCAGGCCTCCCGTTGAGCAGGGAGCCCAACGCTGGACTTGATTCCAGGACCCCGAGATCATGAGCCGAAGGCAGACGCTTCACCGACTGAGCCTCTCAGGCGCCCCATGCTTTCACTCTTTTTAATGGTCATTTAATATATGCATCGTATTTATATATCATGACTTAGTAAACATTCTATCGATGGCTATTTGGGTTGGGATTTAGGGAGAGTGCTTATCACCAGTCGGCAGGCTCTCAGAGCCCCATGACCCCCAAAAGAGTAAAGGGAACAACTAGGAATTAAGAACCCTTTGCACACACACACATTTCTCGAACTTGTACAGTCAAGGAGCCCACGGGTCAGTTTCAGTGGATCCTTCCAACAGTTGGCACTAGCCAGGGACGTGTGGGTCAGTGTTAGCCAGGGTGTAGACGTAGAGTCTGTGCCTGCCTGGACCAGAGCTGCCTGGGCCTGGACTAGCCGTGTCTCCCCTCCCTTGTCTGCACGATGCATGGTGCTCGGCCAGGCCTGGGCTCCGTGCGCTGCTCAGCAGGTGCTGGCTGAGGGCTCACTTCCCTCCCAGGTCTCCAGAGGACGTCTGTGTTTGACCGCCTCGGCGCCGAGACCAAGGCAGACACGACGACAGGCAATAAAGTGAGTTGGGAACGGGGAAACCACCTGACGTGCTCTAATTTGTCTCCCTTGCGGGTGTCCGTCCCACATCTAGGCCCTCATACTCCCTGTGCCGCCTCACCCACCTTAACAGCCTCAGTTCCCTTCTTCGCACCTCGACCGCTCTCCTGATTTCCAGTGCCTGGGGTCTGGCTGACTCCTGCCTGCCGCCCTCCGGCCGCTCCCACCTCCTTGTCCCAGACTGGCCTCGGCATCTTCCCCTAAAGGGACTCCTCTCCCAGGCCCTGTCTCAGGGATGCCCCAGTGCCCCCATTCCAGGCAGGCTCCAGTGACGGCCCCATCTGTCTTCCCTGCTCTGCCACCTCCCCCCATCTCCTGCCCCTCCCCCGCAGCGGCAGTGTGTGCCCATCCACAGGACAGGCCACCTGCCCCCCAATCAGACGCTGCTCACCGTGGTCAAGATGAGCGCCGCCCTTCTTGCCTCGGCCTGCAGGGCCCAGGGACGGTGTGTGCTTAGGAGCACACGGCCTGAGCCCTGCCCGGTGTGAATCCAGCTTTGCCACGTCACTTAAGCTCCTTGTACCTCAGTTTCCTTATCTGTCTAGTACCCACCTCGTCGGGTGGTTGTGAGGATTAAGTGAGATATACCTGCACAGTGCTGGGGGTGTCTGATGCGTGGTAGGCACGCTTTGAATGTCACCTTCGATTAACTGCGCCGGAGCTCCCCCGCTGCGTTTCCTGCCTCTCCACCCCTTGCTCACCAGGGCTTACCTGACCTTTTTCTCACCTCCTAGAGTCTTATCATGAGCATGATAATCACGCTCAGGATCATGTGGCTAGAAGATGCAGCCACCTAAAGAGCTTAGCACAGAGGGAGTGCTCCATAGATAAGATTCTTATTCCTGCCTTGGGGGCTTGGCCCTTGCTCTTTTCTCGGCTGATTGATCCTTGAGGGCGTGGCTTACACGTCAGCACCTGGGGGAAGGCGTCCCTGAACTCCCAGAGGAGGCTTCCCCATCTCCCGCTCGCCGGCACTCCTGTCTCGTCCAGAGAATGCACCACTGTCGTAATTAGGGAGTTGTTTGTGTCATTTCCACTGCCAGATCTGGCTCCCCCACTGGACTGTGAGCCCCCTGAGGGCAGGGCCAGGGACAGTCGGGACTCAGGAGAAACTTGTTGAGTGAATGACCAAATTCGTCTTTTGTCATGTTCCTCTGTAGACCTTTGCAAATGGTCTTCTCTCTGTGTGTGGCCCACCCGCTCTCTTCCCATCTTTATTAGACCTATGTGCCCACACTTGCAGATCTCATCTCAGATGTCCCTTGTGCAGGGAGTCTCTCCTGAACTTCGGCCAAGGTCAGTGGCTCTCACCACTGGCTAGTGTGTCACCGTGTCACCGATGGGTGTTCCTCCCAGCGAGGCCGGGCACGGTGAGGCAGCACTGCACTCATGCGTGTTGAATGACTAAGTGACTCACTTGTCCCATCTCTGACCCCTGCAGCCCACAGGAGTTTTCAGCCGCCTGGGGGCCACCCCAGAGATGGATGAGGATCTGGCTTGGGACAGCGACAATGACAGCAGCAGCTCTGTCCTGCAGTATGCCGGGGTCCTGAAGAAGCTGGGCCGGGGCCCAGCCAAGCCCAGTCCCCAGCCGGCACTGACTGTCAAAGCCAAGGCCACAAGCTCGGCCGCGACGGCAGCCACCCCGACACTGCGGCGCCTGGCCCTTTCCTCACGCCCGGGGCTCGAGAGGAAGCCGGAGTCCCTGTCCAAAGTCAGCATCATCCAGAGACTGGGCAAGGCTGCCCTTGTGCCCGAGGCCCAGGACAGCCAGGTCACGAGCACCAAGAGTAAGTCCTTGGCCGAGGTCAAGGTCACCATTAAGAGGACTCTGGTGGGGCCCCGGGGGAGCAGCTCCAGCGAGGGCCTGGGCGCCCAGATGGACCATGCGGGCACAGTGAGCGTGTTCAAAAGACTGGGCCGCAGGACCTTCTAGCCTCTGGGCGGGGCACGGGCCCCTCTCTAGGCTCCTGGCTCTGGCAGAGGCTCGCGTGAGGCCATGCCCAGCCCTCTGCTGGCTCCTGGATGACACTGCTTGTCTCCCTCAGGCATTCGAGCCGGCCCGAGCTTTCTGGGGGCTCACCCCAGTGTTCTGAGTCTGACATGGTCGCTGTGGCCTGGCCTTGCTGCTCTAGGACTTTCCTTTTTCACGTCCTTTGTTCTCTCCTCTCGGACTGTGGCCTTTGGCAGGACCCACTTTTCTACCTCTCCCAGAGCCAAGTGCTCTTTTCCCTCCTCTGTTCCCCCTCCTGCCCCTCGGCAGCATCTGCTGCCTCCGCCCCAGCTCCCCAGCCTCCCCAGTCCCCCACAGAGTCCCCCCACCTTACCGACGTCCCGACTTCCCCTCGCTCCTCTGCCCCCTCCCCCAGCTGTCCCCCCTCCCCACGGCTCCTTTAACTTCTCTGTCTCTCCCTCTCTTCACACTGTTCATTTCTCTTCTGTTTTCTGTCCCCGTGGCAAGGCCCGACCGTGCGCTGCGTCCTGCCTGACCCTCCTGCACCTCCGGCCTCCCAGCGACCCCCTCGTCGGCGGTGGCGTCGAGCCTGTAGAGACTGTTAGCTGCCCTCACGCCCGGGCTGGAGGGACCTCCCCCAACCCTGGGCTGCAGCGGGGGCGCCTCTGTTTTCCTGCCCTGGGCACCTTTTCCTCTGAAAGCCCGTGGTGGGTGGTGGGCAAGGGTCGCTGGGAAGGGAGGCCAGTACCAAGAGAAAGAGAGAGAAGAAAACAGCTATTTTAATATATTTTTGTGACTTTCAAACTGTTTCCCTCCCCTCCTTCAGGGTGAGTCACAGGGTTGTTTTTCACACAAAGCACAATGTAGGTGGGGGTGCCAATGAAGGGTTGGGCTCTGTCCGTGAAGGTCAAGGCTCCACGTGGGCCATGTCTTTGCTGCAGGGAGTAATGATCACGGTCACCGTTCAGTTGGACTTCCTCTTCCCCTCACCCAGCTCCTCTTCTGCCACTGTGTCCTCCCCCTCCGTATAGTTCACCTGTTTCTGCCACTCTGCCTGTTGGTAGCTTTCCAAGCTGCAGGCTCCCTTGTGAGGCAGCAGGTTGCTGTCGATCTGATCATACACCTGCTCGCTGCTGCACAGCCCCTTACTCCGTGCCAGGCCTGTTCTAGGAACTGGGGATCCGTTGGGAGCGAGGCAGACAAGCCCCTGCCTGCGTGGCCGACCTCTCTAGCCAGGCAGATGGCGGTAGGGGGATCATGCTGTCGAAAGAATGGGAGGGAGGGGCAGAAGTGGCCAGGGCCTCTTCCGATGTTGGGCATAAGGGGGACTTTCAGAGGAGGCGAGGTTAAGGGCTGAGCTGGGAACGGTCAGAAGCGGCTGTGTGAGGTGCAGGAGGAGAGAGGGTCCAGGGAGGGGACACAGCCAGGGCAAAGGGTCTGAGGTCAGAGGAGCAAAGAACATGAAGGCCGGGGCGGGGGGGGGGGGGGCTGGCCAGGGAGTGAGGGGCCTGCCCCAGAGCACCGGTTGGGGTAGGTGGGCTGGGACCGGATGACCTGGGGCTTTGTGACCCGAGGTGAGGAATTCGGACATCTTCCAGAAGCCCTGAGAAATTTGGGAGGGTTTAAAGCTGGCAAGCGATGGTCTGAGTTGGCTTTTATGAAGATGGCTTTGGCCCCCCTTGAGGGGATGAATTGTGGGGAGGGCAGGGGTGGAGGCAGGGAGGCAGCCATGCAGGAGCCCGGGCGAGGAAGGAAGGTGGCGTGGGGCGAAGCGTGGGGAGGAGGGAGGGAAGCGTGGGCAGCGCAGATGGATGGGAAGTTGGGGTGCAGGGGGCGGGGAGCAGGGATCACCTAGAGGAGGGGCCGGAGCATCTAGCTGGAGGTGCTGTTTGTGGAGACTGAGAGGTTGGGGAGGGAGGAGGCCAGGGCGGGAGGGCGCTGGGCTGCTGGGACTCGGGGGCGGGGGGCTGGCACCTGGGCTGGGGACCTGCAGCTTTGGGGAGCACTCAGGGAACTCTGTTCAAAGCCGAGGGCCTGGTGATACCAGCTAGAGAGGAGCATAGAGGCAGGAGAGGACCCAGGAGGGAATTGGGGGCGCTTTTCTCATTTAGAGAATAGAACTGATGTGATTAGCAAGGAATGGGCTGCAGTTTGGGCGACCTAAGAGCAGGTGAGGATGAGATGAGACTTCACCCATTTTTTTTTTTTTTTTTTTTTTTTACTGCGGTGAAATATACATGAGTGACCATTTTAACCATCTGTAAGGGCCCCGTCCAGTGCCATTAAGTACATTCCTGTTGCTGTATAACCATCACCACCGTCCGTCCCCAGACCTGTGTCACCTTCCTGAGCCGATTGTCTGTTTATTTGTGGGTTTTGAGTCCTGGCACGTCCGGGGGGCTGCTGTGTATTGGGCAGCAGGCCAAGCACGGGGCCCAGAGTGTGAAGGGCTGGGCGTCACTGTGAGGGCCGGTGGTGGGGCCCAGGCAAGGCCTGCGGGGCACTGCGTGAAGTCAGGCCTCTGGAGGGCAGTGGACGTGGACAGTGGTGATTCTGGAGGCTGCCCCTTCGTGGTGGGGCTTGCATGCCTCCGCACTTTCCTTGTTGCTCTTCAACTCTGTGTTACTAAGTTTAAGAGCCCTGGGTAAGTTCTTCTTCTTCTTCTTCTTTTTGTTTTTAAAGATTTTATTTATTTATTTGAGGAGAGAGAAACAGCATGACAGGGGAGAGGGTCAGAGGGAGAAGCAGGCTCCCCAATGAGCCGGGAGCCTGATGTGGGACTCGATCCCAGGACTCTGGGATCATGACCCGAGCTGAAGGCAGTCGCCCAACCAACTGGTCCACCCAGGCGCTCCCCCTGGGTGGCTTCTTGATGTGTAATGATGTAAAAACACGAATAGCTCACTTAACCATGAAAGGCTCACCTGCGTGAGGGAAGTCAGGTCGCTGTTGCTCTTTACGGACACCGAGAGGGGAGAGCACTGTCCAAGGTGTCACCCCGCTGACCGGGAGCCTCGCTCCATGACCCCTGCCCTGTGCTGTCTCGACTGCAGTTTGAAACAAGGACCTTTCGGAAAGATGAGGGTGGGGTCCTGGGTTAGGGGTTTGGATTTTCTAGAGTTATCTACGTATACGTGCTCCCCCCCACCGCATCAACTTGCTGTAGGAAGCATTTGCAGCTGTGGGATGCCGCAGGCCTTGAGAGTCACGCCCCATCCTGCCACCGTCTGCTGGCTGGACCGGACCAGACACCTCCTGTGCCTCCCAGAGCCACAGAATCCCTGCCATTTGATTTGGCGATGCCCCCACACCAACCTCCGCATCTGTGACCCACAGCAGTGTGTTATTTTTCCTCTGGTTGTATTAAATATTTTTGAGCTATTATACATTCACGTGGTTCAAAATGCAAAAGATACAAAAGGTTTTATGGTGAGAAGTTCCTTCCTGAGTCTCCTAGCTCCCAGTCCCCTCCTCAGAGGCCACCAGTATCTTCAGTATCTTGAGGAACCCTTCCAGAGATGTGTTTATGGTGTGTGTGCTTTGCTGACACACACACACACACACACACACACACACACACTCCTATAGGCATACAGGCAGAGGAAGATAATAGTAACATATATTTACTTAACCAGCCCTTTCTGGAAGGGAATTCAGGTTGCTTCCAGTCTCTGGCTATTATAAGCAGTGCTCCAATGGATAGATAACCTTGTCGCATGTGGGGTCAGTTTAGAATTCCAGTTATGTCACTTCAGTGCAAATACTGGTATCGGGTCGATAGCAAATCCGAACCAGGCTCTCCTCCGAGATCATTGGCATTCTCCAGATGATTCATTCATAACACTTGTCGCCCCATTCCAAAATGGACTTCAGAGCCATTGGACTCTTGTAGCTGGAGACCCCGGAGGGAGCAGGTTGGGGAATGCTGACAGCTAACACCACATCTTTGTGCTAGGAAGTACTAAGGCTCTGTGAAGTCAGCAGACTCACCGAGTCCTCCGGGAAAGGGCAGTAGCATGAAGTTCAGGGGCTTCCTATTCTCATCCCACGAACAGATGTGAACTGCAGGTACAGTGGGCCTAGGGCTCATGGTAAATCACAGAGCCAGATCCGGGCCAGCCCCGCGGGGACGATTCTGTTTGGATGGTTGGTGTTGGGATGAGGCCACCTCCTCTGGTCGCTCACGAGATCAGGGAACTTTGGGTGCCTGTGGCAGGCAGCCCCACTGCCGCTCCCTCCAGTGTCTTAGCCTGGTGTCGTTAGGCTGCGACCACCTTGATCCCTCCTTTCCCTCCTTTGGGGATCTGAGCTCACTTAGTTTGGTGAGTGCTGCTTCTATACACCGGCCTCTGACGGTCTGATGTTCACCTACACACTGAACTTTACTTGCTTTGTGAACACCGGGTCCTCTGTAAACTTCAAAGCCTGAGCCAGCTGGCAAGTGATGGGACTGGGTCTGATTCCAGGGCCAGGAGCCTCGCCTTTTTACATTTGTGTTTTAAGACTTTATTTTCTTAGAATGGACTTCATTTTGTAGAACAATTTCAGGCCTACAGAAGTACACATAGGACAGAGCTCCCATATACCCCACATCGAGTTTCCCTTATTACTAGCATCTTACAGTATTGTGATTCATTCATTACAACGAATGAACCAATGTTGATGTCATGAATATTAAAGCCCATCGTTATTCAGATTTCCTTAGCTTCTTCCTTAGTTTTAATATATTTTTCTGTTCCAGGAGCGTTCGTGTAGACACATAGGGAGTTGTCATGCCTCCTTAGGCCCCTCTTGGTTGTGGGGTGATGATCTTGACAGTTTTGAAGAATACTGGGCAATCTGCATTAAGAGATTGTCCCTCCATTGGAATTTGCCTTTCTCGTTATTAGACCAGGGTTATGTGTTTTTCAGAGGAAGAGCTCAGAGGTAAAGTGGCATTTTTAACCCAGCATGTCTAGGGTACGTACTGTCCACAGGATGGATCCCTGTTGATGCTAACCTTGATTACCTGGCTTGATTGTCTGCTGTTTGCCAGACTTCTCCATTCTCACGTTCCTCTCCCTTTCCGTACTGAACTCTTGGAACGGAAGTCAGTCACTCGGTTAAGCCCACACCTAAGGAGCACGGAGCTTATGTTTCACCTCCTTCAGGGCAAAGTACCGGCATAAATTATAAATAAATCTGGGAATTCTTCTGCAAGGGAGATGTGTCTCTTTTCTCTATTAACTTATTCAATCATTTTCTTTTCATCAGTAGGGACTCTTGGGTACTTATTTCATATTTTGGGTTATATAATCCAGTACTACTTGATTTATTTTGTTGTTCACGTTATTCTAGCTTTGGCATTTGGGGACTCTTGCAGTTGGCCCCTGGGTCCTTTTGACCGACTTCCATTATTGGGGGGTGGGTGTTTTTGTGTTTTTATTTTTAGGATTCTGTACTTTCTGGCACTGCAGATACTCCAGGCTCATCTTGTATACTTCCTGCCCTGGTTCTAGAGCCCGCCATTTCTCCAAGAAGCCCCCGCTTATTTTATTTAGAATGGTGACTGAGAATCGAAACCCAGATCTAGGCATGAGATGAGCTCATTGCCACTGGGG